TATACACATGTGTATATAATAAAATATATACATGTCAAATATATGTATACATATATGGAGGGGTGGTGGTTGGGCGCTAAGTTCTGTCCAACTCTTGCGACCCCATAGACTGTGTAGCCTGTGAGGCTCCTCTGTCCATGGGATTTCCCAGGCAAGAATATTGGAGTGGGTTGCCATTTCCTTCTCTAGGGGATCTTCCCAACCTAGGAATCGAACCCAGGTCTCCTCATTGCAGGTGGCCTCCTGCACTGCAGGTGGATTCTTTACCAACTGCGCACAAAGTGGCTTAAATGTATTTTGTCATTAAAGTCACTAACCCAATTTTCTTTTGGTTTGTGTTTGCCTGGTTATGTCTTATCTCTTTTTTGAAAACTGTTCTGAATCCTTTTTGTCTCATGTGTCTCTTGTAAATCACACATCCCTAGATTTGTTTCATACCCAATCTAAGAATCTTCTTTGGTATTTTTGTTATGATGACCTTTCTTTAGTTTTCTTTTTAGTCACTGATTACTAATATTACAGTAATTACTATGTTCCATACCAGACTTTACTTGCCTTATTTTGCTTGCTTGCTTCTTCCTGAATTTTTTTCTCTTCTTATTGTATTCCGCAGAACTTTTTTCATATGTCTTTGTATAGTGAATTTCCTAAGACTTTGTATGCTGAATATTTCTTTATTTTTCCTTTAATTTAAATAATAGTTTATTTGTTGAATATAGATTCTAGGTTCACAGCTTTTTTATTCACTTTCTCTTGGAAGCTTACAGTCCATTGTCTGCATTAGTGTTAAGTAATCTGATGTCAGTGCTAATCTTTTATAGAGGAGTGTGCTTTTTCTTTCTGGAAACTCTTAAACTTTTCTCTTGATCTATAATAGTATAGCCTTAATTATCTTTATATACTACTTTGCTGTGATTTTTCTTTAATTCTCCTGTTCACTGCTGTATGTACCCTTTCAGTCTAAGACTTGAGTATTTCTATATCTAGGAAATTTGTGTCACTGTTTCTTCAAATACTTATTTCCTTTTATTTTGTCTTTGCTTTCCTTCTAGGATTCTTATTGATGTTCGTACTTCTACGCCTGTTCTTAATTTTATCTCGTTTGTTCTTTCATGCCTTTCCTATGGCCTTCGAGGAGAGTTCTTTCCCAGGGTTCTAGCTCACTAATTCATTCTGGTCTGTAGTTATTGTGCGTTCAGTTCATCCTCTGGGTTGCTTATTTGAAACTATTGTATTTCTAATACTCATTATCTTATATTGATTATTTTTTGTAACCATTTTTCATATTTAATTTCTAAAAATCTTCCCCTATCTTTGAATATGTTATTATACTTATATTCCTACTCAATCTGTTTTCTCTGGATGAAGTTACTTTCTTTGTTGTTATTCTGTTATTTTTAAGAACACCTCAGAGTTCTTAAACATTTGCCTTGTGGATTTCTCTTTTATTTCCTTGCAGCATTCAGCTGCCTTGGCTAGTAATTTTAATCTAAAGGTAGGGGTAAAAGTCTAGGCTCTAGTTTGTGCTTATCCAGATTAATTGGTCTACTGTGGCCTCAATCAACCACTTTTTCCCCATAGTGTCCTCCTGCTTTTTAAAAAACAGCCCAAAACAAAGCAAAGCAAAACCACGGCCCACTATCCACCACACACATACACAAACTCCCAGTACTGTTCTCCCAAACAACCACTCACTGTTGCGGATGCCTTGGTTCTTTGAGTGTTATGGGGCTGGGTAGATCTACCCAGGGGCCTTCCCAGGTGGTGCAGTGATGAAGAATCTGCCCACCAGTGCAGGAGGTGCAAGAGATGTGGGTTTGATCACTGGGTTGGGAAGATTCCCTCGAGTAGGAAATGGCAACCCACTCTAGTATTCGTGCCTGAAAAATGCCATGGACAGAGGTGCCTGGTGGGCTACAGTCCAAAGTATGGGAATTTTGTGATGTGAACGCATGGGAAGAGTTCATTACTTCATTTGTAGAAAAAGGTGTTTCTCCATAGGAGGTTTTGTTTAGATTGTAGTTTGTTATGGTATTTGCTACCACTTTCCATGTGGTATAGCTTTGACAAATACCAGAGGGATTTAAACTGGAGTACAGTAGTATGCCATGGATTTTAAGAAGAGAATTGACATGATCAAGCTTAATTTTACAAAGATGTTGCTCTCTTACGGAGAATGAACCGACATAGGACAAGGCAGGGGTCATTGAGACCCATTAAGAAGCTTTGCAATAATCTGAGAGAGAAAAGATGATGGCCTAAAATAAGACATAGTTGTGAAGATAGAAAGAAGTGGTTAACACTACATGATAATTAAGGATATTGGATAGCCAGGACCTTGTGGCTGATTATATTTGTTTATATTTGGAAGCAAAGGAAAAGGACATGTATCAAGGAAGATGCTTAGTTTTCTTTCAGGCGTGTCATTCCAAATGTGTATCTCCTAAAATCATTTAATATAAGGAATTCCTTGGAAACATAATGAAGCAATAGCTAGTCAATCTTTCTTTCTTTTTTTTTTTCTTTCTTTCTTTTTTAAAGAATAATTTCTTATCCTTGATTCCAAAATACAAATAACTCAGAAAACTGAGAGATTTTTCCTAAGTTTGTGATAAAGTCAGTTGACAGCAAAACCTACCCTTAAATGAAGCTGTTTGTCATCTTTGTTTATCCCACTTTGTGTGGACATTCATATTTTTCTTTCAGAATTGTTAATATGTATGATGATGAGATGTTGCTTGAAGTATTGCTATCTGTGTTTTATGACATACACCGTATGTACCTTATTACTTTTCTTAAAACCCAAAATATTCTTTGTTTTTCTTATTTTTTTAAAACTTTAGTGCTTAATTTATTAAATTCATATTCAACAAAACATTGAAAAAAACTTGAATATATAAACAATGCCGAATTTGACTAAACTGGCTTAAACATAAATACCAGTTAAAAATTTAGTATAGCTGATCCTTTTGAACCTTTCAAATAGTAGATAAAACATACATAAATCCAATGAGTGTAAAGCACATCCTTATACCAGAACAGAGTACCAGAAAAGTCCAAAATATTCTGATGAAACATGTCTAGCCTCAGTGGTTTCAGATAATAAATTATGGACTTCTATGTTGAATCTGAGCATTTTTGTTCTCTTATACTGCATTATTTTCCAATAAGAACCATGGTGTGACAATGTACCCATGGGGAAAAATGAAGCAGGTGTGAATTATATAGTATAAATATACTTCACTCTAAGGTAGATTGCTGAGTTTAGAAACAAAGCAATATGTATGGTATGCTTCTGTTTGGGATGAAAAGAAAAAAGGAGGAGAAGTACACAGACACACACAGAAGTATGCACACACATGCGTAGGTTGTCTTTGGAAGGAGAAATAAATAGCTAATATCAGTGGTTGAGAACTAGGTGATAGGAAGATTTAATTACGTTGTAGTATGTATACACACACACACATACAAACATATTACACTGTCAGATGTTTTACTGTGTGTATTATTATTTTTGTCTAAATTTTAAATTACACAAATGGTTATATAAAAACTTTCTTGTGCACACTTAAAAATTCATTAAGACTTCCAGCTCTAATAAATGTTAAACTTATAATAATAAAGGTAAAAATAATTATGTGGTTTCTGGCCTGCTGTGGCACACCTTGTTGCATTCTATTTCTGTCACTTGTCATTAGAGGTGCATCCAGAGAATTAGTTTCAGAAACTCTTAAATTTTTAAATGATGATTATATAGCATTGTCAGAAGCAGAAAAGAGAATGGCTAAAGAGGAGTACTAATCAGTAGACAGTGGAGTTCATCCCCAAGATGCCAGACTGGGCAGTGAGAGGGAACATTGGAAGCCACTAGTGTAGTTTTCAAGCAGTTGATCCAAAGGGAAATGATAGGGAAATTTGAAAGAAGATTATACAAGATGACAAAGGAAACAGAAGTAAATATATTTTTGGCAAAAAAAACTTGTAGACAAAATAAAGAGAAAAGAAATAACATTGGGACCCCTTCAGAGAAAAATAGGTGTGGGGAAAAGATTAAACATTATGAATGCAGTACTGTTGTCAGATGTTCCATAATTATTTTCTGCTTTGTGGTAGAAGTATAATTTTGTGTCAAAGCAAATAAGGTGTGGTGTTAATAATGGAATTAAAATACTGCTTGATCAGAGTGAAAATAGGGAAAGTCCATTTCTCACTAATAGATTAGCATTAACTGAAATCAGGAAAAACATCCAACTATTGCCATATTCCACCAAATGTGTATTTAAATTATCTTTGCTACTTGTACAGGTATTTGTATTTTGTCTCATCAGCACTGTTTTTTTTTTAAGTGAAAAGCAAGAAATTAAATACTTAAAATATATATTGTGATATTTGATGTTTGTGTTTTCATTGGTGATTATTTTTTCAATATTATTTTAGGTTCTGATTTATAGTGGGCACTAAGTTGATAAAATTAATGGCAGGAAAAAATTTAAGATTTAGTTTCTTAGCTATGAACTGATAAATATTCTTTTTGTGCATATTCTTTGTATAAAAATGCACCTATTGATGGATGGGCATTTGATAAAGCAAATATAGTAAAATGTCAATTGTAGACTGTAGATGGTAGATAGAATCTGTATGTTTGAACATTTTCGTAATAAATGTTAAAAAATAAACTAATGAGAAAGCTAATGTAAAATATAGTGTACAAATAGTAAAATGATAATATGTTTGATTTTTTTTTTGTTCTCTACTGACTTTGAAAAATCTGAAATATTTTACTAGACAGATATAAATTTTAGGATTAATACTACTATCAGATATAAATAAATTATCTGTTCCTAAGGAAATTGTTTTGTCCTTAAAAATGGGGTTATTATGAACATTAGGAAAGATATATGAAAAAATTAAAGGGGTTTGTAAAATATTTTTGAGGTAAACATAAATTATAGCAGACAAGGATTTAACAACTATTTTAAACTTTTATTCTTCTATTTTAGGGAATCTGGAAACATCAAAGCTGGATTAGAACATCTGGTAAGTTCTAATTTTCTCTTGAACATTTGCATCATCTTTGATATCTGCATTCTAAATGAACACTTTTGAATGAGCTTTGAATACCTTGTATTGAGAAAGTCAACCATTTCCCAAAGGGTCAGCTTACTGTTATTATGTGAAGGCACTTACATTTTCATTTATCTTATCATTTCAAGGGAATTAAAATTTTTTTAAATTACTTTTTTTTTTTTGATGTAGAGATGAAATAAAATGGATGACAATCCTTGGATTGATGACTGCTTTAATTATAAACAAAAATGTTTGGTGTAGAATTTTTGGCATATCTTGATCTGACAAAAACAAGCTTGTGTTTTAAGGAAAAAACAATCAAATATTGCATGCATAAATGTGGTATGTTTTAGCAATTTAACGGCTTTGAAAGAAGCGCACAGCTTTGTTTTTCCTAATGTCTTTGCTTTATGAATAATGCATTGGTTTAAACTACATTCAGTTTTAGAATATAAAATAATTGAGATGCAAAATTTTCAGTTTAAGTAAACATTTTTAAAGCACCAGTGAAATTCCAACTGACTTAACATTAAAATCTGTCCATTGATCAAAAAGTTGGAAAACTGCTGTATTATACCAGGTCCAAAATTCATTGAGCTCACCACATTGATTGTTCATTACAACATTAAGTAGTTCATTTAAACAGAGCATTATAAAGTCATGCTCTGGTTTCTGGTCAGATCCAAATGTTGAATAATTAATGATAGAGATTCTTTTGTAAATACAATCTAAGTACTTTTTTAATGCAAGACTTCATTCGTGTATCATATTGTAGCTTTGTTAACTATTAATGTGCTTTTGTTCTGCTCACACAAGAGCAAATAGGAGCAGCTCCATTTTTATTTACAGCAGTTTTAGAGTTGAAAGGATTTTTGGTTTTTCTTTCAATAACTAAAGGAAACTGAGGAAATCTAAACTTTTTAAAGTGATAAATCATGCTAAAAATGACAGGTTTAGAAAAAAATTACAGATTAATTATTAGAAGCAGAACACAATAACCAAGTTAGAAAAACCAAACTATGTATATATTTCCAGATTAGAAGTAAATAAATAACATTGTTATTCTCATTATTAAAAATTATTTCTTGAATCGTCATTCCTCACTTAAGAGTACAGCATATATTTAGGAGATACATATGGGCATCACAATAAAAATATTAATCTGAAACATCTAATGCCAGTATCAGTTGGCAGCTTATAACAAGGAAGAACAGCTAAGGTAGTGCCAATCTCTTGTAAATTATTATTTAATAAAAAGACTTTATACTTACGTGATTCATATTCATCAGTAAACAAGTTAGATTCTTCCTTTGTTTAAATTTTATATTTTTTCGTACTTACTAATGTGAGTTTATCTTCAGTGACAGTGTCTTGCCTTTACACTCGACTTGTAACCTTGTGCTGCAGCAGTTTTCTAACTGCCCTGGGCTGCCAGCTTATCTCCCCGTGGCAAATAGCACTCCAGACTTCCATTGCCCACTTTAGCCAGCACAGTGCCCGTTTTTAGTTATTTTGTATACTTTTAAACTTTTAAAATAAGATTTCATCTGAACAGAGTTCTTCAACTATAGGTATTTTAAAACCTTTAATGAAGTATAGCCACTTGTATTAATTTTAGTCAGGAATAATGGTTTGTTAAATTATTATTTCCCATTCTTGACTCTAAGTTATATTTAATTTTTATATGTCATATACATCAAATGTGTTTCAAAGATAATGCATTTTAGGGATCAGAGAGCCAGCATTAATATAACAGGTAGTGGAAGTAGATGATTTTAATGCATTTTACTTCAGTTACTCAAACTCTGTAGTTTAGCATTATAAAAATTGACCCACTGACTATAAACTATTAACAACATTATGAATACATAGCATAATATCACATATATACACATATGTATTGCTTTGTACACTAATAATATTCAGTAAAGTTAATGATATTCTTTATAACTGTCTAAAAGGAAGTAAATGTAAGAATTCATTGGTTAAGTGCTAAAGAAACCTGTCAATGTAGCAACTCTGGGCTCCTTGGGTTTGTTCTCTCTCCACTTCCCAGCTGAACGGGACTTATAGCCCTTGCCTTCTGGCCCTTGTACTGCTTCTTTGAATTGACTGTATGCCAAATACAGTTAGAACTGCAGATTCTAATAGATTTATTTAAAAAAAATATATAGTGTAAAAATAAAATGAGAAGAGCATCCCACACATTTAGAATTAATTTCTTCTGTTTATGTAGCCTTCTTCAGCCTTTTTCTTTCCAAATTTACTTGGATTGTCATAGAAAATTAGCATTGTCCTGAGAGAAGGTAAAATCCAGTATAAATTTAAATTTAGTTTAAAAAAATGACATATGAAGTATGTTATATCTACCACAAGGACACATACATGGTTGCACTGTCTGTAGCCTGTTTATGGGCTCTTCTTGATATATATGGAATCTGTAACCCTGGGAGGGAGAAAGCAGGCGTGGATGTATGAAGAGAAGAGTAAGATGGATGGACTTTGTTTCCCTCGGACCTCGTCAGGGGTCGATTCATTTATTTGTCACAATCTCTCAGGCCCTGATTCAGTCTTTATTTCATTATTCCTCTATCTGTGTTGCCACCTTTTCCTATGAACTGTCCAGCGTGTCATTCCTAGCTTAAATTTCTTTTAGTATACTCCCCAATACCATTTTATTTTTCTTCTCACAAACTTGTCTACCACCCACAAAGACTATATCTGTTTAAAATTCTAAACACAGCCTTTGAAGGTTGGTACACCATGAGCCATTGATAATTCTTGCCTGATGATTGAAAAAATGAGATTTTTCCAGCTTTACTACTCCCCTGTATTTAGGAGCCAGAGTTCTACTATAAGGTCCCAGGTTTCATGTTTCTAGGAAGGTGTATGATCTGTTGGCTCAGTGGTAAGTAAAGAATCCACCAGCCAATGCAGGAAATGTGAGTTCAATCCCTGGGTCAGGAAGATCACCTGGAATAAGAATTGGCAACCCACTCCCACGGTATTCTTGCCTGGGAAATCCCATGTACAGAGGAGCCTGATGGGTTACAGTCTAGAGGGTCTTTAAGAGTCAGACACGGATGTGCATTCTACTCTAAAGAAAAGCCTATCTTATTTTACTTTTCTTTTTACTGTGAGCAAAGACTCATGAACAGAGTATTATCAGTTACTTTTCTTATTTACTTTGTAAAGATTGTGCCAGATTTGTCCAGATAGTCCTCTTTCAAGCTGATTTCTGGGTCCTTTCGACATACTTTTTTTCTTTTCACTGAGCATGTCCTCATTTTCTGATAAGCATGTTTCAGGGTCATCTTATACATTCCCTGTCCCACTCCCAGAATCAGCCATTTCTTCAGATTACTATATCTCATTTTAAAGGAAAATGGTATTTAGGAGTCAAGGTCTGGACATATGATGTACTCATTTTCTCTGGAATTTTATTACTTCTAGGAACTTTTAGTCCTAGATTAGACAGATAAATAGAGGGAGGGAGGTTAGTACATAGATAGATAGTTTTAAGAACATATGAGTCATACTGATGCCTCCAATTTCAATCCAAACCACAGAGTTCTTCCTTGTTCTCCTCCATTTCATATTTTTATTTATGTAAAGTGAGAATCCAGACTCCTGTAGCACTAATATGTTTACCCATTTGCTCAATCATAATATACATAAAATAGTTCCAAAATCACCACAACTGTATCTTTTGAAAACAGACTTAATTAAAAGACTTCAAGATTTATTTGCAGTTTTTCCCCCTTGGGTGTAGTTTAATCATTTGAAAGATAGTCACATTCATTTGTTCCCATTTATGGGCTTCTCTTGTGGCACAGCTGGTAAAGAATCCGCCTGCAATGTGGGAGACCTGGGTTCGATCCCTGGGTTGGGAAGATCCGCTGCAAAAGGAAAAAGCTACCCTCTCCAGTATTCTGGCCTGGAGAATTCCATGGGCTGTATAGTCCATGTGGTTGCAAAGAGTTAGACACTACTGAACGACTTTCACTTCACTTCACTTCACTTCACATTTAATTTTAGGTGCCTTTGTTCCCATTCTTGTTGATTTAATTATGTTTGAATATCCATAAGGTTAACATGTTTCCAGAAGTCAAAATATTATATACTGTGTTGTTCTCAGAGAGGTGTTACTCCCTTCCTTTCTAGCTAGTCTCTATTTCTTGTAGATAGCAAATTTTATTAATTTCTTGTTTGTACTTCCTGTGCTTTTCGTAAGATTAAGAATATATCCTGGTGACTCAGATGGTAAAGAATAAGCCTGCAATGTGGGAGACCTCGATTTGATCCCCAGGTCAGGAAGATCCCCTGGAGAAGGGAATGGCTACCCATTCAAGTATTCTTGCCTAGAAAATCCCATGGACAGAGGGACTTGGTGGGCTTCAGTCCATGGGGTTGCCAAAGAGTCAGCCACTACTTAGCCACTAAACAGCAACAGCAACTATATGCTTATATGTATGTATTCCCATTTCCTCATTCTTATAAAAAGCATATTGTATATACTTTTGCTGTAATTTGCTCTTTTCACTCATTAGTATATGCTCGAAATTACTCCATAATTACTTGTGTATCATTATATTTACTGTGTTTCTTTCTCTGTTTAGCTGTGCTCATATGTACAATATTCCCCAAGATCTTGCACATTCCAAGCTGTTTTTCTGGAGTCTTGCCACTTGAATGACAACTTGGACTGGACATAAAATCCTTGGCTCACAGTTTTCTTTGACTTTCTTGAAATATTATTCTGCTTTTGATATCTCTGGTTTAGTTCAGTTCAGTTCAGTTGCTCAGTTGTGTCTAGCTCTTTTTGACCCCATGGGCTGCAGCACACCGGGCCTCCCTGTCCATCACCAATTCCCGGAGTTTACTCAAACTCATATCCATTGAGTCGGTGATGCCATCCAGCCATCTCATCCTCTGTCATCCCCTTCTCCCACCTTCAGTCTTTCCCAGAT